CAGTGCCAGACGTGTCCCCCTGCTTAAGCCAGTACATGTCCAGGCCCGTCTGAAGTTTGCTAGAGAGCATTTAGATGATCCAGAAGAGGATTGGGAGAATGTCATATGGTCAGATGAAACCAAAATAGAACTTTTTGGTAAAAACTCAACTAGACGTGTTTGGAGGAGAAAGAATGCTGAGTTGCATCCAAAGAACACCATACCTACTGTGAAACATGGGGGTGGAAACATCATGCTTTGGGGCTGTTTTTCTGCAAAGGGACCAGGACGACTGATCTCTCATAGTTGAGGTATATCTAGGATGAAAATTACAGGCCTCTCTCATCTTTTTTAGTGGGAGAACTTGCACAATTGGTGGCTGACTAAATACTTTTTTGCCCCACTGTATATATGGAAGGATTTAAATGTAGTGTCAATGCTTTTGAGCCTGTTATTCAGGCAATTTGGGTACACAATAAACTGTATACACATTTGCTGGGCTTTCCACTGACTGTGCAGAGAAGGATATTGTTATCAAGGTTACAGAGCTAAACAACAGAAACTATATATTATTTTGACGCATTTTAATGGAACAACATAAGGCAATTCCTCACACATAGAGCCAAGTGTTATGCTGTGATTTTGTACAGCAACTAGGTTGTCAGCAGCTACAAATGCCAGCCGTCATTTCAAATGTCATCATGTTTATTTGGGATTATCAGGAAGCAGTTTCTGAACTGTATTAACATCTAAATCAGTAGAGTTTTAGTCGCCCAACATTATCCTTAAGAGGCGGGGGAATATATAAGAGATTAGGTTATTGGAGAACAGAGATGAAAGGCAAATAAGGCATGCAAGGGTTAAAATAGTTACATGTTTGTTCCCTGTAGAGCAAACACTTTACTTCCCATGATGCCATCCCCCCGGACCGCCCTAGTATGGTTGTCACCATTTCCATAGCCCCACCAAAAATATTTTCCACCAGCCGCCACTGCCCACTGTGTATAGCCTATCACCATTCAAACATCTTTTAAAAGTTGAACAAACCCCACACAGCTCAGTAAAGACTGTGAAATGTTGACTTTATTTGATCATTTCAGTAAAAACTAACGTTCATATTTCTCTCTTTGATTATAATACTGATAAACGTTCAGAACAAAGCACTTTGGCAACTTACCACATACGTTTTAAAATGCTTAATAAGCACCGTAACTTTCATGATATAATTTCTCCGTCATAATCGTTTGTTTCCGTGAACGGCCGACTGTTGAGTGACGGCAAATGCTGCGGCTGCAAGGCATTGTGGGGCAGCATTTTCTCCTCTCCTTTCGGTGAGGGAGGTCCAGTGGTTCCTAAGCTAAAGGAGGTTATAAAGGAAGTTTGAAACCTCCTTTCCTTTCATGTAGAGAATTGGAACGGCACTTATCATGGCTGCCACTGAGGGACTTCCGGGTCATTTCACTCCGTTAGGAAGGTTCCTAAGCTAAATGGACTATTCGATTTCAGCCCTAGATCACCGGACAACAGAGTTGTTGCCGTGTGCACACACAGGGTTAACGTCGGTATGAACAACAGAATTGTGCCAAAACTCCGCCAACTGGCTGCAGTGGGAGACTCCCCTGTGCACATTCTGTGCCTCGTGCACACACTGGAGAACTGTGCTAAATCAGCTGATCACAACGTTCACGCTCTGTGGTCAAGCTGCTGCAGTTTGATTTACAACAAAGTGGAGTAAAACACACAGTTGCAAACTTCCTCAGGGTGTTATGGAAGAGTTTGAAATCAGACAGAGGTGGAAGAAGTACTCATATATTGTACTTGAGTAAAAGTAGAAGTTCCAGAGTGTAGGAATACTCTGTTACAGTAAAAGTCCTGCATACAAAATGTTACTCAAGTAAAAGTAGAAAAGTATTCTCATCAAAATATAGTGAAAGTAGCGACAGTAAAAGTAGTCATTGTGCAGATTGGTCCATTTCAGAATAATATATATGATATGTTTTATAATGATTGATCATGAAAGTGTTCTCAAAGCTGGTAAAGGTGCAGCTAGTCTGAATGACTTTGTATACTGCAGGGTAGCTGGTGGATTTACTCCAGGTGGAACTAAAGTCTGATTTAACACTTGATTATATTTCACATTATTAATCCAGATCTGTAAAGTAACTAAAGGGATTACATACATGTAGTGGAGTGAAAGTACACCATGTACCTCTGAACTGTAGAGGAGTAGAAGTAGAAAGTAGCATCAAAGTCAAGTAAAGTACAAATATCTCAAAATTGTACTTAAGTACAGTACTTGAAGAAGTGTGCTTAGTAACTTCCCACATCTGAAATCAGATATGACTTCAAGTCATGTGATCATTTCTTAGTATTTGATCCTTCCACTTGGCCTCAGGAAATGCCAGGACTTCACAGTTTTGGCAACAAGTTTTGGAGAAAGCAAATCGGAGGCTTAAAAAGAGACAGGGAGGTGCATCTTCATCATCTAGCATGCAAGAAGTGTAAATAGAGGACAGTGAAGGAGACACTGAGGAGGACCACGCTTCGTGTGGGGTGACTACCAAATGCTGTCTCCTGGTACTCATCTGAGTATCTCACTGAAAAAGTGATGTGCACCCCTGAATATAATAACGGTGCTTTACCTGACCCTCATCATGACACTAGAGAGGACGGCAGGATTGTCATTTCCCGTGTTCAGTGAATGCAATTATTATGTAAAAGATTATTTCCGCGGCACACCTTCATATGATCATTATAGGACAAAAAAAATAAGAGAATAAATGAAAAACAGTTATGAAATACTATATGACGGTAAAACAAGAATACAGTTTAAAAGGGGAGTGATTTGTAAAATATAACAATGAGGTGTTTTTAACTCAGGAAGAACACTGCTCTCTTCAGTGTTGTACAAACAGACACAACAACTATCCTCTGAAGGAGTAGTCCTCTATCGCTGGTGACAAACATGAAAAGCAAACGCTGAGGAACAACTCAGGAAAATGCCACTCTGCAGGAAAAAGATTTAAGATTGTGACTGCCAATGAGAATGACACACACACACACACACACACACACACACACACACACACACACACACACACACACACACACACACACACACACACACACACACACACACACACACACACACACACACACACACACACACACACACACACACACACACACACACACACACACACACACCACACCACACACACCATAACAGCTCCCTGACAACAGATACCTGCATTTTCAAGTGTGATTATGTTGCTCCATGTGCCCCTCCTCCGCTGCTGTGCCTCAGGGATGTTAGGGACTTCTTACTTTCTACTGTTTTTACATTATTGCCTTTATTGGAACCCACACACTGTGTTCATATGTCATGCTCATCAACCTAGGTGCTTTAAAACAATTTCAAACAACTTGACAACAAATTAACCCATTTATTTTATCTATTTAAAAAATATAAATGTAATGTCATTATAATACTGCTGCCCGTCAGTTTCTTTCGCTCTGTCCTTACTTTGTCACTTTGCTGAACAGGATATCAGCAGTAAAAGCCGATCATTACGTAATGCAACTTGTATCCACATTTAGCAACACATTCATTGCAGTAGCTAATATTGGAGTGAAACATAACAATATTAAAGGGGATCATTTTAGCTTTTCAGTGGTAAACAAGTGCCAAATTCTATGTTTATCAGAAACATCACACTCAGAGCCCCAGAGGGAGGTAACTAAGTTCACAGTCAGAGCTAATGACACCATCTGGCTGGTGGGTGTGTATCATTCATTAAGACTGACCCTTGAATGTGATTACAATTCACACTTTGAAAAATGTTTTGTGGGAAAATCAAAGTAAAAACTGGGTAACCCATAAATAGACAGTTGGAGATGTGGATGCTGAGGTGGAGGAGAGCCACTGGGCTGTGGGAACCAAACTCTGCTGGTTGGAGAGGAGGAGAGGAGAGGAGGAGAGGAACAGCTGGGCTGTGAGCATTCATGTTGGAGGCTGAACATCTGATCCTACAGAGAGGCAGCGCATGACTCACACCGCTGAAAGCTCAGTGGGAGGCGTGCAGCCGACACAATTAGAACACAGAACACACACACATGCGCACACCCACACACACACACACACACACACACACACACACACACACACACACACACACACACACACACACACACACACACACACACACACACACAACACACACACACCACACACACACACACACCACACACACACACACACACACACACACACATACACACACAGCTTCTTGGCTCTCCTTCAGGCCGGGACAGAACAGACTAAAGCAGCGGGGTCTCCAGCCAAATCATGCTGGATTGGAGTTGGTTCCTGTCAGGCCACAGGTCGAGCCGTTTCAACCCCTCCAATCCACCAAGTTGAAAAGGAAACACAGCCTTAGTCAATAGATTAGAGCCGAGCATTATCCATCATAATGGTGGATATGTTAACACAAAAGCTACACATTCATAACCCGCTGCAGGTAAATGGCTGATATGGACGTAGACGAATACTCATGTGAAGCAAGCAGTGGAGGTGTGTGTGATGTCAACATCAGGCCGTGTGTGTCGGAGGGGGGGTTCAGTCACCTCAACACCGAGGTAATGCTGTTGCAGTGAAATTCCTGAATTAACCTTTCACAGTTTGAATAGAAAATGATGAACATGTATGAAAAAAACACATTGCAGAGTAACCCAGCTGAGATTTATAAATAGATAACATAAAAATGCACCAAAACACAGATTTTCCAAGCATCAGAAAAAATAAGATTTCCTTTCCCACCTACTACAAAGTTCCAGTGGCAAACTCATTTCCCATTAATCCTGTTCCTGTTTCTGCAAACAGAAATATCTGGATTTTGCTCTTAATCTCATTTTTCAACCTGTATGAACCAAACCTATTATTTTTAAATACGTCTTACTTAAAAGACAACTTTAAGACTGAGGAATAAATATACATTTGAAAAGAAAACCTTGCGGCTTACCACTTGGGGAGTGATGCTTCCAGATGACGTTGGCCTCGGGCCGGCCCACCCCCAGACACATCAGACTGACCGGGCTGCCCTCGTTCACCGTGACGTCCTTCGATATGTTGGTGATCTTGGCGGGTACTGAGGGGAGAGAGAGAATCATGATTGATGTTTTTTGCTTAATTAATGACACGTGAGCAAAGGGCTTGCTATTCAGCGTGATCAGAACAGTGATGAGGTTAAAAATAACCCCAGGTTGGGGACTCTATTAGCATGAAATTAGCTGACAAACTTGAAGTCCTCGGCTCGCTGTGGTGTTATACATGATTGATTTTCTTCATCCTGTATCCTGCCACACCGCCCATTAGACAAGCATCACCCTGATTTAGAGTAAGATACCAGTAAGATGTGTGTGTGTGTGTGTGTGTGTGTGTGTGTGTGTGTGTGTGTGTGTGTGTGTGTGTGTGTGTGTGTGTGTGTTTGTGTGTGTGCTGTTGTAAATGTAATTGCCTGAAATCAAGGGTCAATGTTTTCCTTCTTCACTGTAATTTAATGGCGTCTTGAATTTTAAGATCTTTAGTGAAACGGACAAGACAGCAGTTCATTGAAGATAATTCCACATTACCTTATTCCTTGTGGCTCCAGACAGTTTAGCTATGTATTTAAATAAAATCTAAATTATTTAGATTTTTGCAACTTAGAAAATGGTTGGAGTTTTACAATAGACACAACCAGCAATCGTATTGTCATTACATGTATATTTATTTAGGGCAACTACTATACAACACTGGATATTTACTTTTAATTGTTTTGTTTTTTTAAATCATATTTTGAAGCAGAATGAGGTCTTCACTCTGTATGCACAAGGTCAGCTTGGTGCACAGACACCAATATTGCTAGGGTAGTAAATTAGAAGTACATTAAGTGGTACTTTCCCTTTTTATGAATAAATAATTATTTAAACCAATGGGACCTTTTTTATTTCAGAGCAGTTTACCCACAGGACTGAAAGGTGTCGTAGTGTTGTTCACAGCCTTGAAAATTAATGATGTTAAAGCCTGAGCTTAAATATGATTAGGAGTGCTATTATTTAATAACATCATGTAAAACACAATTTAACAACACAGACATATAATAACTAATATATTAAATATTGATAGAACAAATGCTTTGATTATATATTTTAAATATAAATAAAATGTGATGAATGTTGTGTGCCAGCGGATCAGGGCTGCATCTCATTGACCTTTGAGTTTAACCATGAATTAGCATGCAATGCTAAAGCTCAATTGGTTTATTTAGGACACTGTGTGTGCAGATTTCACCTAACTGTAATAGGATAGTTGAAAGCAATACTATTTTAAATAAAATATAAAATATTAGGGTCATATTCATATTATTGTTTTCAACTAACCTAATACGGTTATGTGAAATGTGTTGACATTTTACCCTTAATTAAAGCCAACGTTTCAGTTGTTTCAGTGCCCATAGCTGCAGCACGACTATATTGGCGCCTTTCCACTGCAGCGGGTAGCTCGCTTTAAGCGTGCCGAGCCCGTTTTTGGTTGCGTTTCCACTTGGCCTAGTTTTGGCCCGGGGCTACTTTTTCACCTTTTTTCTGGCCCGACTAAATCGTGGTTCTAGGGCCAGGAACAACCAGACTGAGTCGGGCTGAGTATGCTAAACTAGAGAGAGAATCGCTGGCAAGGGGGCTACAACTACAACAAGATGAACATATTTGACCGTGATTTAATTGTAACACACGTTTCAAAAATGATGCCGAAGTAACAACATACTGATACCGGTTAGTAAAACCATGAATTAATGCTTTGACAAGTCTGCAGACAGACGGCAGGCGAAAAACCCTTTTAAAATGCGTGTTTTCTAAATGTAGCTTGGCTAAGCTAACGTTATATATGCTCCGATCGTCCACACTCACAACAACGGCCTAAACAGACATAAATAAACCAGCGACTGTATTCGCCATGACACAGGCAGTCTTTGGTTTGTACTTGTTTAACTTGTGTCTAGTTTCTGAACAGATATGAGGAGCTGCGAGCTCTGAGTGCTAAGAGATAACGGCTGTGTTGTTTTTCTGGGGCTCTCATTGAAGATGACGTCACGGCTCCGCCTACACTGCGTTACTATAGTAACTGCCCCAGTTCCTAAACTGTAATGGAAACGCAGCATTAAAGTGAGCCGGGCCTAATAAGGCCTAACCAAACCGAGCGAGGCCTGCAGTGGAAACGCGCCATACGTCTCCTTTAGTTGAAATAAATGAGCTATAGAGTCCTTCTTTAGGTAATTACTTGTAGCTGATGCTCCATTTCTCCCCACACATTACACATTAAGGATGCACCCTGGATAAGATAACAGAACTGCTGAAAAAATGAAATGTATTATGAGGAGGACAATTACACGCAAGTCATTCCATAAAATTAAACTGTGCAGCGCTGAGTTTAGCCACAGCCATTTAGAATAGATTGCCTTTATCCCAACAAATAAATCTGCTCAACAGGGTCACACATATTATTTTAGAAATAAACCCTATTCACGGCAACACTCTTTAATAACCATGGTTAACAAATGGAGAATTGATCTAAAATGCATGTTGTTTTAACTGTGTTTTGGATGCACACATCTTTATGATATATACTATGGATGTGTACATTTACTACATTGTATTCAACATTTTTAAGTAATCTTTCGTAACATATTTATTAATGTTTCATAGAAAGATGGACCAGACATTTGTAGCACTTGGTTAATGTACATCTTGCACCTGTAACCACACTCAACTTGGTGATGAAGTGTACTCACACATGTGTACACTATTCATCACGACTGCAGTGAGGTGGGAAGTAAAACACTAGAAGTCAGCACACACAAAATGATACTGTTGAAGATGCAGACATGTAAGGTGGTGTTCTTCCATTCCTTCTATTTATCATTACCTGCAGACCACTTGGTCTTACCAAAGTATTCACAAGAACAAGTAACACCCATTTGCAAAGTGTTGCTTTAGCCTTTTCCCTTTTCTACATGAATACTCAATAGAAAAAGTGAATTTCAATGCAAGTTAACAGACGGTTGACAGTTGGCAGAACACACGGCATCCAGCTTCCTTTTTAGGACAGACTGAGGCTTCCTCTGCCTCCACTTTATCTGTGCTGTGTTGAAACCCAGGTCATTGGTCATTTCACAATGATGTGGAATTTTACCAAGCACACGTGTATTTATTTGTGTATCTAACATCAAAATGTGTCTTTTGTTGCAGGGCAGAATATCTCACTTGGACTAATATTAACCCTGCTGTTGTGTTAGGGTCAAATCTGAACGATTTACTACTTCCATCAATCATAAATATTGTGTTTTATATTTGATCGCCTCAAGGCCTTATGATATCCTAAACAGATCACCACTGTCATTCTTTGTGCTTTGTTTAGTCAATTTAGTTAAACCTATTGAATGGGTAACCATAGATGATGTGCATCCATCGGACACATCCACCAATTGAAGGGTTAAGTCTGATGTTAAACCTATATTCAAAGAAAATAAAAAACAATTGAAACCTTTTTGATAATTAGGCAATTGAAAAAACAAACACTAATTGATTAATGGATACGAAAATAGCAAACTGAGGGGCTCATCGAAAGGGGAAAATATGTTCATTATCCATGTCTGTTTTAATGTGTTTGTCTCTTTTTATCTCTTCCCTGATCTTCAAAGATACATAATGTTAACATTTGCTTTACTTGTTCCAGAACATCTAGACCAAACATATTTGACTGTAAAGAGTTTTACAACACAATTCATTTTGATGCTGTTCTTCAAAAGTGGTCTGGTCCAGGTGTTGTCCCTTAAACCATAACATCATTCCTTTTCTCACCAACATCTGTTCTGAACACATTCTGTTGAACTTAGCCAGTGTATATTCAAATTGAAACCCCCAAAAGGTTTCAAGAGCCTCTATAATGCAACCAACTGCAACACAAAAGCTGCTGATGTGTGTGGTTATGTGATGAATGATCAGCTGGTGTAGTGTAAGGTGATAACAGCTGTTTTGTAGGCATGAGCGGGGGATTTAAATAGCAATGTTGGTATTAGGTCCATATGCTGTATATCTGCCACAGTCCTCCAGATACTGTATGTTGGATTGCAGCACCAGGAGAGTGGAACACCTTTTGATTTCTTAATATTGGTAGGTGTGTACAGATTTAGAGACTAAGATCCAACACAGTCCCTTCATAGTCAATATTGTAACTAAATGAATATAATTTATAATTTTGTTATAAACTACTAATACTGTAAAGTGGGACTAGTTTCCAAAATGTTCCGTAAACCAGGACCTGTAAGGATAGCTGTGAATCAATCCAATATCTTTCCTGCCAAACCTGATGGCAGAATGCTTCCATTTACATCATCTTCCATTTACAGCAATTAGACTTGTGGCTGTTAATCTGTGTTCTTATTCTCACGTCCAGGAAAGAGAAGCTTAAAAGGAGACTAAATGGAGTCTCTGAGATTGTTTCAAAATTGGTACTTTAATTAATAAAAAGCGTGGTAAAGTCACAAACAGGATATTGTTCGACAGAAAAGCAGCTGTCTCTGGCCCTCGCTAGCAGAGAAAAAAAGAGGCCAACCCCTCAGGTCTCGTTGTTTATATATCCTCTACTGGCTCCTCCCTGCGGGCCGGCTCTCCACGTATTTAATGTTCGTTGTTACGCAAATCAGAGGATACAGACATTGTACATTCAATATATCTAAACACGCCTTTTCTCCTCCTTAACTCTTTCATGACTTTTCATTTAACACATTCTAAACACTGTAATCAATATTCCAAAAAATACAGGAAATACTTCACAGCAATTTGGTTTCCGGTCGTTCCTGATGTTGTGACATGCTACCCACATCTGTAAACAATAACGTACTCAAATAAACTGTACCTTCATTTAATATCCAACAATAATAATATCTCGACGTCTATAGTTGTAGTGTTGAAATCAGTAGGTTTCGGTGTGCAACATCATATCATATCGCTGCTAAATTCACCTCTATAGGAAATGGTATATTAGCCTCATGCTAAATGCTAACCGGAGATGAAGGATTTTCAGAATAAAAGCTTAACAACTGGTTGTGCA